TCCTCGTCACGACCGAATTCTCCACAATAGAAACATTCATTTTCAGCATTGATAATGTCTTCAAGATGCACATCATTATCAACGATTTCTGTCATATCGATATCTGATTCGTCGGTGTCTGTTTCACTTTCAACCTTCCTACGTTTAACTTTTTTCGCAATTTTCTTTGTCTTGACCTCAGATTTTGCTGCAGCTGCCTTTAGGGCCTTACTCTCTTTTTTTCCTTTTTCTTCGAGCAGTTGATTCTTCAAAGGGGTGCTGGTTAAAATTTGTGAGTGCTGTTTCTTGGTTCCTCTATTAATAATTTTTCGAATGCCTTTTTTTGGAATTGGGGCTACATCTTCTACGCTCACAAGTGAGGAATTTATATCTAACGGGTTCGGTGTTTCGAAGCTGTTATGTGTTGATGTACTTGGGGCTACTGGATCTGCTCTTGCTGATATTGTCGGTACTGCTGATGTTGATGTGCTTGCTACTGGTTCCCCTTGGTTATTAATCTCCAATCCGTAATCGACATTTGCAGTTTTAAACTCTTCAGCAGGAGCAAAATCATCAGCTGTACATTTGTCTCTATTGAGAGGAAATATTCCGGCAGATTGAAATCCAGTTACGGCTTTCTCCATTGTTGCGACCTTGACATAAGCTTTGTTAAATAAACCGGCTAGGTCATGCATGTTTATCTTTTCATGGGCTGTTATTTTCAAATGGAGTTCACATTCACGATAATATGCATTTTTCAAAGGACCGTAAAATGTCACATCCAAGGGTTGCATCTTGTGGGATGTGTGAGGTGGAAGCGAAACAACGTGAATGTGGTGGATTTTGCAAAATTTATACATTTCTAAGGAAATGTGACTCCCATGATTGTCACAAACAAGTAAAACAGGGTCATCTATTGAAGGTTTTGCATGTTTATTGAAATGTTTCAGCCAGTCTGTAAACAAATCCTTGTTCATCCATCCGTTGTCGGAACACTGGTATACAGCGCCTAAGGGGCCTCCAGTTTCGAGAGTAGCACTCATTCGCTTGCGTGGGAAAATGAAGAATGGAGGTATGTAGCCACCTGCAGCATTCATGCTACACATAACCGTAACATTTTTTCCCCTTTCAGCAGACGTTGCAATTCCGACTTGTTTTGTACCTCGAGCTGCATATATTTTTCCACACTTGTTGGGTACATTACTAATTCCCGTTTCGTCACAATTGTAAATTCTAGATGGAGCAAAATGGAATTTAGAGTAGAGTGCCTCTAAATTAGAAAAAAAAAGTTCTACTTCATTGGCATTAAATGAACTTATCCGGTTGAGGCTTGTGCCTTCGGGCTGTCGGAGACTTACTTGAGGGTTTCTTTTCAAAAAAAGATATAGCCAATCTTTACCAGCAAGCTGCTTATCAATGTTAAAAAAGTGTTTTATGCCATTCTTTGTTGCATAATCATAGGCTATTTTTCTAAGACCCATTGGAGTAACTCCATAGAACAGTTTAGCCAACTTTATTACATGTTTTACAAGTTCCTGTTCTTGTTGAGGGGTGAATGTTGCTTTTCTACCTAAAGGTACATCGCTGGTTGATGGCTCCACATTTTCAATTTATCTCGTAGTGTAGACTCGGGAATACCAAAGTCTCGTCCCGCCTTTCGGATAGAAGAACCTTCTTTAATCGCCTGCAATGCTCTTTTAATGCATCTGAGCTCCAAGATTTTCTGCTTGTTAATCTTTTATAGGTCCGTGGCATCTATAAAAGAAAGAAGTACTGGATTAGATATATTACTGTTCAAATCAATGTGGGGTAAAACTGCGCACAAAGTGGGGCAATACCGCGCACTTGCGCGATTTTACCCCGAGGTGTTTTGCATAAGAGATTTGTCAACTGAAAAAAAAAAAAACGGCTAATTTGATCAATGTAAGGGTTTAAATTATCTATAAACATCATAGAACTTTCAAAAAGCAAATATAGAACATTCAACTAATAAAATACGACATACCTTGCTTCACAAAAGAGAGCACAATATTATAACCTCCACACTCTTTGTAAACAAAACTCAACTGACGCCACATGTATGCATTCAGTGAATTATTTCGTCCGTTACTGTAGTTAACCATTCGGCCACTAGATGTCAGGACCATTAGCTTTCATAATTTATTTGTTTTGTTGTCAGAAAGCCACTGCGCGATATTACCCCCTGCGCGGCATTCCCCCACTTTCCCCTACAGGTTGCTGTTTTTTCAATTTTTCTTGTCACACCATTAAATAAACTAGCAAAACCAAAGCTATTCATAAGAGTCAGATAATTAGATAGATAGATAGATATATATATATATATATTTATTTGATCCAAACCATAACATATTAATTGTTACAAAGCCTAATAGCACAGAATATCTAGCTACGCAACAGAAGCCTCGTTACATGTATAAAATTGTAGGTAGCAAAAGGAGACAGGCTTTAAAAGCCTGTCTCCACATCAGATATTTTGATGTGGTAGTTTCGCTACTACATAATAGAGGGCAATAAATTTAAAAGAAAACAGTTTTCTACAAACAAAATTTAAAAGAATTTTGTGCAGTGTTGCCATTGTGTAATTCATATCGTAATACTTCCTGATAAAGCCTACCTTCAAATTTGCTACATCATTTAAACATATTAAAGTAGATCAGAGCTGTTTTTTTCAGTTTGCCATGTTAGTTGGAATTAAATCTTATGAGCTAAATTACAATCACTTCCTGACGTTTGATTGTATAATTGAATCCTGAATTTTCATTGTAATTCGGCGATAATATAATAAGTATTGTTCTACTATTATGATACCACTTCCTGACGTTCAATTGCGTTCATACCAAGTTCATATCGTATAATCGGGAAAAAAACGGCTTTAGCGATAGCTATGAAATGAATATCGCTGTCATTTTATATGTAAATTTATATGGGAAATGTCATCGATCGTCCTTTTTCAGCCAACTGGACGCCGTTTTTTTCAGAAGCATATCAAGTGATACCATAATATAGTACTATATTACGATACATGGCGTTCGATTGGGCTTAAACTTGGTATACTATATCTTCAGTGACATTGTAATATCATGGTACCATGGAGCATATAAAGTGGTACCTTCTATAGTACCATATTTGATGACATAGCAATATTAGGTACATGGCGGCAATAGGGCTTAAACTTGGTATACTACGTATTTTCGGTGATATTGTAATATTATGGTACCATGGAGCATAATACGAGGTACCATAATATAGTACCATATTACGATGCCATTTCCTGGCGTTCGATTGGGCTTAAACTTGTTATACTACGTATCTTCGGTTACATTGTAATATGATGGTACTATGATGCATATAAAGTGGTACCTTAATATAGTACCATATTTCAATACCATTTCCTGGCGTTCGATTGAGCTCATATTTGATATATACTTGCGTATTTTTGATGACATTGCATTATTATGGTACCATGAAGCATATCAACTGGTACCATAATATAGTACTATATTAGGTACATGGCGTTCGATTGGGCTTAAACTTGGGATACTACGTATTTTCGGTGACATTGTAATATGATGGTACTATGATGCATATAAAGTGGTACCTTAATATAGTACCATATTACGATACCATTTCCTGGCGTTCGATTGGGCTCAAACTTGGTATACTACGTATCTTCGGTTACATTGTAATATGATTGAACTATGATATATATAAAGTGGTACCTTAATATAGTACCATATTACGATACCATGTCATGGCGTTCGATTGTTCTTAAATTTGGTATACTACGGATCTTCGGTGACATTGCAATATTATGGTACCTTAAAGCATATCGAGTGGTACCATAATATAGTACACTATTATGATATTATTTCCTGGAGTTCGATTGGTCCCAAATTTGGTATACTTGCGTTTCTTTATAAAGATTTGTTTAATTAATAATTTTAATTTATTTTACGAATTTTAATTTATTTTATTTTATTGTTCGATGTCGTGACAGCAACTTTTATGCCGAACTAATATATTATTAATTGTACCTGTGTCACTTTTTAAAATCTACCTAGGTCTATATAAATAACGTGGCAAACGGAAGAAATTTGTTATTATAGTATTTTTTAGTCAGTTAACATTTTTTGTACTGCATTTTAATAAATTATTTCCATTATTATTAAACTTATGTTTCATTACTAACGTTCCAGCATTAATAAATATCACTATCAATCGCCCTGTCTATTATTAATTTTAAAGGTAATTAAAGGTATTTTCTTAGTTAACATTATAAGGTAGTGTATATAAAAAATGTATATGTTTTGTAATAATATACTTAAAACTATTTTAATAGCCAAAGGAATAATTAATATAAGTGTATCTGACAAGAAAAGATGAATAGAAAGACACACATACTGCATTATACATAATAAAAAGAATGGGATGCCAATTCAAGTCTTTTTGAATCTGGCAACTGTGCATATTTAGCCGAGCTATAAGGCCGTCGACGAGCCGTCGATCCAAAACCGAAAGTTCAAAATTTCTAATTATATTCTGATTATGACATTGTCGCGCTATCTAGTATTCTATTTGTGCAATTTTAGCTCTTTCATTTCGAGTATTTTTCTGTTGCGTAGCTAGATATTCTGTGCTAATAGGCATGGAACATTGTTAAAGTTGAAGTTAGCTTGAGCCTAAAGAACAATAGTACTTACATAATATAAAACGCTTAATAATAAAAAAAATATACATATATAACATATAATAATAGTAATATATATAACATTTGTCCTGAATAAAAATTTACTGAAAAAAACGTACGCTATAAATCTATAACACAAAAACTATAATTATTAAAAAAAAACAAGAAAGAAAACAACAACACAATGCACACCTCTCTCTCTCTCTCTCTCTCTCTCTCTCTCTCTCTCTGATATTCGATACTACCTAAATGGATTTGCTAGTGATTAAATCTAATCTGTAGCTTTTACGTAAATTAAGATTTTATATTCCAGGACTGCATTTGTACAGATTTTTGTCAAGAGTGCAGTGTCGAATTTACCTTAGATGTAAAATGTACTGATGATCAAACTAGACACGTTACAACGGCAGATCTGAAGTCTAGTGATCCAAGAGTTATTCCTGCAACATCTAAACATCGAGATGATGAATCTTCAGAATACGGAGAGACTGACGAAATATTAATTATAAAATTGCGTAAGGGACAGGAATTGAAAGTGAAAGCTTATGCAAAGAAGGGTTTTGGCAAGGAACATGCGAAATGGAATCCAACATGCGGAGTGGCGTTTGAATATGATCCCGATAATGCTATGAGGCATACACTATATCCAAAACCAGACGAATGGCCCAAAAGTGAATATAGTGAACTTGATGATGATCAATGTAAGTTTGTTTGGAGGTGATAGATAATGACGATGAGGAACGATTAAAATACAATATGATTGAACAAACGGCGTTAGAGCTGGCTTGGAAATGAAGGTCGCTGTCATTTTATATCTAAAATTGTATCGGGAATAGTGATGGGAATACCAGTTCCACATTAGTCGCGTTACCATAGCGACCGTTCCAGAGAAATACCGCGATTCTGTAACCAAAGTATCGCTGTTCCTGCCTATGCGATATTTCTGGTCACTGTATAGTTTATCTGAACTGAGTTGGAATAGATTGGGACTCTTAATTTTGGTAATGTCTTTGTCGGCATCGTGGGGACAAGGGAATTAAGAGTCTCAGTACTTCCAATTGACTTCGGAAATACTATACTTACCTACTCCTCTCCCTGCCATTATCTTTATATCCGTGCAAATTCATAAACAATAACAATTCATAAACCCCCCCCCAATTCGCAAATAATAAACAACATGCAGATGGCTAGAAGAATTTAGTTATAGCTTTTAATTTTCAAAATACCACTATTAAATTAAAAATATAAAATAATATAATTTATTGGTATTCAATACTTTTTATTCGCCATCTTTTCTTAGATTAATATTCTTCTGATACACGTTATAACCGTTAGAATTTAAATTAAAATACATACATTCGTAAGATATTCTTCTATATTTTTTCTTAAAATCTGTTTACTTTAGAAATAGTTTAGCTTAAACAATAAAAAGTAACATTACTTTGAATCATTATTCGAAATACCTACGCCATATGTTCTCTTTTTCTGCAGACTTTATAACTCTAATAGGGATTATATTCTTAATCAACTGAAAGTAGGTTTACAAATTTCCTTTTTTTTTCGGTTATATTTCTTCTTTGGTTTTTCTTATTTTTGTACAAGTGTTTATTTGTAACTATCTAATGTACCTAACATGTATTTATTATCAATCAAAAAAAATTGCGATCTCGTAAGTATCGTCACGACTGTAACCGGAGCATCAACGCCAAAAGCGACCGATCAAAGCACGACCGCTACGTACTTACCAGTTTCAGTCCCAGTTACTATTGTTCGCAACCAACGAAAACTCGACCCTACGCTCCAGCAGTCGCGCGACCGCTGACACTGGAGCGAACTACGTCGCGGTATAGGCCGTTACCAGTTACATCTTCGCGACAGACGAAGCTGTCGGGATTGCTCGACGCTACGTACCAGTTCCAATTACTTACTGTTCGCGACCGATGAAATCGCGACCCAAGGAAGGCGACAGCTGAAGCGAAACACGGCGCTATGCGGTTAATTTTTTTTTTTTTTTTTTGGAGGTGTAAAATACCTTTACGTACGGAGTGTGGGACTCAATCTCTCCTTAAGCTGTCTGGAGGACACTACCCACTAAACGTCACCCCTTGCTCCTGCCACGTCTACCTGGACCCGCTGGACGCATCTCCTCAAGTAGCGCCGGACTGTCCTTTTTTGTCATTACCCCTGTTCTTCGCTGTATTTTGCCTCTAGTATATTTTGGGCCAGTTTTGAGATGGCTTCAAAGTTTTCTCTTCTTTCTGTTACCGATTTTAAGAAGGTATCTGCGGAGATGTTGCCACCAATCGTCATGCATGCCTCACATCTTTCCTGTTCCCATCTTGGACAAGCAAACATTGTGTGTTCTGGAGTATCATTGGGTTCAGCACAGTATCGGCATTCCGCGACTTCCCCCTTTCCAATTTTACACAGGTAACTCCCAAAATTTCCGTGGCCACTCAATATTTGAGTAAGATAGAAGTTTACCTCTCCATGCTTTCTTTTAATCCACATATTTATATTTGGGATGAGCTTATATGTCCATCTTCCTTTTTGTGATACTTCCCATTCTGCCTGCCACTGCTGCACTGTGCGGTTTCTCTCCATCTCTCTGCTTGCCCTGGTTTGTACTTCACCCTTGAGAAAGAGTCGTTCTCTTTCTCTTGAGAGAAGATGCAAAGGCACCAGTAGCCCTGTAACCGCTATGCGGTTACTGCGGTTCGAGCTAAATCCTAGAGCGATTATAAATAATTTATAGTTTTGTCCTTATTATGATCGTCGTTATTCAGTAACAGGTTCCTGATTCGTTGTGGAGCGCGACACGACCTTACAAAAAAATACCGCTCCAAAATCGCGTTACTCAAATACCGACACATCACTAATCGGGAATGTCATCGATCGTCATTTCCAAACTAACTGGACGCCATTTTTTTCTCGACTTGGCATGCGGTATAGTAATTGATCAGGATGTTCTACCTGTGAATCCTACAGAAGAACTCTTTTAATCAGTGTGTGTCTCTAATGTAATACTGATGTAATTTCATATTTTAGATGAAGCACCTTTTAACTGGGAATTAAAGCCTAACAAATTTTTTTATAATGTTGAAGCTGCTGGTCAACTTCGCCCAGAAAATATAGTTATTATGGGAGTAGCTATGTTAAAAGAAAAATTATCTAATCTTCAGACACAGTTAAGTCACGAATTGCAAAACGATGCTTTAGCTATAGCATAAATATTTGTATTGTAAGTTTTTTTAATAAACATTTTTAATCACTTGTTGTTTAGTACTTTAAAATAGTTATTGTCATGAAGCATTTTCTCAATGCAACGTAATAAATAATTTATTGGGCTGCAAAATTATTTACTGTGGTTTAACAATACATATTATCAAGTGTTCATTTAAATATGTAGGAAACAAATAATTTTTATAATTACGTAATAAGAACTAATGTGTTAAGCTTGTTTCATATAGACGCGAATCGCGAATTGCGATTTTGCGAAACTGCTCTCATTAGTCCAATTTTACTGATCATGGCGGCGCTGTCAGAAATTTTAAGATTTTGGCGATTCGCAAGATTTAAAATTTGGGGGGCGGGAAAGTTAAAGTGTTTTCAACTTTTTGCGAATATTCGCGCGATTTTAAGGTTCGCGTTTGCGCAGAATGGTGTTGTGATCCAGTTATCGATTATTTTGACGACGCTGCCGCAAAGTAACTGAAAGCATTTCTCCAGTTGAAATGGGTTCTCGTGCATAATATGTTTTTGATATATATCGTGACAATTTTTCAACTTCAACCAAGTTATCAAACTCCTGTACAGACAATCTGTGAAAATTCCTAAATTTTTTCTCATCTTTTGTCCTTATTTTTTGAATTAAATTGCGATAAGCACCTTGTTGCTTACAAAATTTGAATATTTCACATGTCCCAAATGACCCATAAATGACCTATAAACCTGTGCTATAAACCCTTACTCTTCTACGTTTTAACAATAAGTAAATGGCAATTTTGCGCCTTATTCTGTTCCAATCCCACAATCGTAATCGATATTCATAATCATTAAACAAATTTAAACTCATATTGTATGCTATAAAATATAAAATAAAGATCGTACACACGAATAAATAATATGTATAAAACAAATTAAGTTATCTCCAGGTTATGATTTTTTTTGGTAACTTTCAGTGGAGCAAAAATGATGTCCCTAAAAATTCGCGACTGTATGAAATAGGTCCAAATTTTGCGAATATTTTTTGGCGAATCGCTTTTCGCAATTCGCGATTCGCATCTATATGAAACAAGCTTTACGCGAAATAAATTAAAAATGGGTTTTCTTTCATTTTTGGAGGTCATCGACATGTGCCAAAGCAGTAGACAATGATGAAGTAAAATCACTTTTAGGGAAGACATTGTCTTTAATTTTCAAAATTTTACACGTTTCGGTCAGATGTATTACTGGCCGTTATCAAGTGTGTTGTCAGTTTACACTTGATAACGGTCATTGATACAAACATTGTGTAAAATTTCAATATCAAAGACAAGGTCCGTCCAAGAAGATATTTTATTTCATCGTATTGTTTGGATAAATAAATTTTACAGAGCAAAATATATGACTTTTATTTATACCTACCTTAAAAAACAGAAAAATACTTTTCTTCGCATTTGGACAACGGCTAATCAGTCTAGTCGGCCCCTTAATCTCTGATTTGACAGTTGACTTCATAAACGTTAGTGCAGGTTGAGATCCGACGAGAAGGCTTTTGTTACTTCGGTAAATCAATCTATGATTCTGTTGTTGAAGCCTTGGATACGGGTTGAAAACTGGAATGGTATTTGGGTATATATAGTTTGACCAATGTATTTGAAACAACGGGGCAACGGTGAGGTACTGACGCAGCGAGGAAGTCGCGGGTCCATATTCAAATATATTTTGGGCCCTTTGCGCCCTCAACAAATAATAACTTTGTTTTGTTTTACCAATAAATAAAGATAACACTTCTTTATATTATTTTAATATACAGATATATCTTCAAGATTTTTGTCCTGAAGCATCTTTGCTTTCTGTTGTTATCCAGCACCGGTATAGTTGGGCAGTTCATATTTCGTTCAAATTTTAAAATTACCTTCCACTTCCTATAAACCGGAAAGGACATATTGTTATTTTGTCTTGTTTCGAGGACATTTTGATTATGTCTTTTATCAAAATATAGTTTTGATCGTTTTATTCTTTTACTACTAAATCGTGCTGTAATGCTTTACTCAGTTGCAAGATTATCAGTTTCATTTTTCAGTTGATCGAACAAGGATATTCTTAGGTTCGAGACGCTTTCAAGTAGTTTTTCAGACCTTTGAAACCACATCTGACAAACACGACTGCCAACACAGAGATCGTTTGTAACAGGATAAATGGCAGTAGTTTTGAGCTTCTTAGCAGCGCTTGCATTTTGAACATACCATCTCGATGGGTTGTACTGATAATGGTATGGCGGAAGTCTCAACACACGATGTTCATGCTGCTTACTGCTAATTCGTCCAGTCTACAAAATAAACGCTGTAGGATAGAGTTATAATTTTTAATCAACATATCGCACGTACAGTTGCATTCGTATCAGAGTAGTAAAAGACTGTTTGTTGAGTTACTCGTATCTCTTAGGTGCAACATTCTGCTTAATAATATTCCAAAGCTGATCTTTCATTTTCTAGAGGTGGTGATTGTATTTCTTTCCCTTGCAAGAAATTAATCAATGGTTCCTTACTCCAATTCTGATTTGGAATCCTGCCGACAAGAGCACTGTGGTATGGAGCGCTATTCATTATATCAGAGATGGTTCGCCTAGAGTCATGGGTACCTCTTCGGCCACTCTCTTGAGCACAGACAACGATTTTCGTTATATTGGAGTGGTAAATAGAATAACAGTTAGAGATTGAAATCAACTCCAGCTACGTTGCTAACTATACTGAAAATAATAATGGCGGCCTTGTCAAATTATTTGTCTTTTCCTCCTTCAGATTTTGCAGATAGGTTGCATGTATTGTTTTTGTAATAGGAGATCAAGGAAATTTGGAGAGTAAACACTTAAGTCTATTATATTTAAGAAAAAAAAACTGCTTTAGTTTTTTGCACTTGTTGCAGATGTCTCCAAGTCTTGCGTCACTGTCGCATTGAGGAAACATGATAGCGACTTCGACACAACACCGTTCCTACGATGCATTCTCTTAGAAGCGTTTTATTTGAAAATACAGTTAACTGTTCTGGATAACAAACTCTTATACGTCTGCAGGATCGATTAATGAATATTAGCAGGGCAATGCAGTACTTTCACAAAAAAACTATATTAAACTTAAACAGGCCTAGTGGTAACTGTAACGCGGTTGGTCTTTAACAAATAAAACTTAATTGTATTAGTCTATGACCTCCATTTCACCATTGCAATAGCTTTATTTTATTACAGGTAAAAATGGGGATGTGGTACACCTTTGTACCATCAGATTCTTATGGTGGCAACTAATTGTACCAACAGGTATTAAAAACAAAAAAAATGGTTTTACCCATATTTTAATTTTATTTAAAATGTGACACTAACGGAATTTTGTATGGTACAACAGAACAGTCTTTTTGTTCTTATTTAATAATAACGGCGGCCTTGTCAAATTATTTGTCTTTTCCTCCTTCAGATTTTGCAGATAGGTTGCATGTATTGTTTTCGTAATAGGAGGTCAAGGAAATTTGGAGAGTAAACACTTATGTCTATTGTATTTAAGAAAAAACCGCTTTAGTTTTTTTGCACTTGTTACAGATGATTCCAAGTCTTGCTTCACTGTCGCATTGAGGAAACATGATAGCGACTTCGACACAACACCGTTACCACTATGCATTGTCTTAGAAGCGTTTTATTTGAAAATATCATTAACTGTTCTGGATAACAACGTCTTGTACATCTGCAGGGCCGATTAATGAATATTGGCAGGGCAATGCAGTACTTTCACAAAAAAAACTATATTAAACTTAAACAGGCCTTATATATACAGCTAGTGGTAACTGTAATGCGGTTGTTCTCTCACAAATAAAACTTAATTGTATTAGTCTATGACGCCTTAGTGACGTTTCACCATTCAAATAATTTTATTTTCTTACAGGTAAAAATGGGGATGTGGTACACCTTTGTACCATCAGATTTTTATGGTGGCAACTAATTGTATCAACAGGTACCGTAATATGGGGTGGATAGGGACACTTTTTGAGCTTTTACATATCGCTACTACTAGGGATTATAACTTTTTAGATTTTTTTTACTGGAAAAGTCCTATCTGGGTCTGCACTGTAAGCACACAAAAAATATTTTTTAAGAAAATTCAAACTTCGTTTTTTTTTAAAAAAACTGTGGTGTCCCTATTTACCCTCCATTCTGTGAAATAGGGACACCATTTAATTTTCAGTTTGTTCCTTCCAACAAACTCTTATATGTCTGCAGGATCGATTAATGAATATTAGCAGGGCAATGCAGTACTTTCACAAAAAAACTATATTAAACTTAAACAGGCCTAGTGGTAACTGTAACGCGGTTGATCTTTAACAAATAAAACTTAATTGTATTAGTCTATGACCTCCATTTCACCATTGCAATAGTTTTATTTTATTACAGGTAAAAATGGGGATGTGGTACACCTTTGTACCATCAGATTCTTATGGTGGCAACTAATTGTACCAACAGGTATTAAAAACAAAAAAAATAGTTTCACCCATATTTTAATTTTATTTAAAATTTTACACTAACGCAATTTTGTATGGTACAACAGAACAGTCTTTTTGTTCTTATTTAATAATAACGGCGGCCTTGTCAAATTATTTGTCTTTTCCTCCTTCAGATTTTGCAGATAGGTTGCATGTATTGTTTTCGTAATAGGAGGTCAAGGAAATTTGGAGAGTAAACACTTAAGTCTATTGTATTTAAGAAAAAACCGCTTTAGTTTTTTTGCACTTGTTACATATGATTCCAAGTCTTGCCTCACTGTCGCATTGAGGAAACATGATAGCGACTTCGAGACAACACCGTTCCTACGATGCATTGTCTTAGAAGCGTTTTATTTGAAAATACAGTTAACTGTTCTGGATAACAAACTCTTATACGTCTGCAGGATCGATTAATGAATATTAGCAGGGCAATGCAGTACTTTCACAAAAAAACTATATTAAACTTAAACAGGCCTAGTGGTAACTGTAACGCGGTTGGTCTTTAACAAATAAAACTTAATTGTATTAGTCTATGACCTCCATTT